TTGGATTGACCCACTGTGCTTTGACAGCCTACAACAGTGATGGCAAACCTTCTAGGGGCCGAGTGCCCAAACTAAAAGTCCTTCCAGCACTGAGTGTTACCTGGAGAGGCAGCTGAAGCTCAGGAAGGAGGAAGAGGTGCACGCAGAATTGGATTTTGTTTTCTTTTTTCTTTGCATAACAGAACTTGTCAATTCCTCGCCCCTTTTCAGATGTTCCTCTGGCACACCTACGCTTTTCCTGCTGATGCAGAATGAGTTCAGAATGGATCATACCACTTCAGGAGAGAGGTAGAGGATCTCACTTTAGATCTTTCCCACATCATAACAGTAGTCACAGGGAAGGTTTTACTGAGCCTTCTTGTGTCATTCATTTTCTATGTGCTGGGATTTTTGATTATGGGTAGTGTTCAAGAAGTGTGATCTCCCCAGATGCTCTCTAAAGTGGGACACTCAATTCTATTCCTTTGCATGTGTGAAATGCAGATTGGGTATTATTTAGCTTTAGCACTTACTAATAAAGTAATATCGAGCAGTGTCAAGAGACAGATTCTCTGATCCATGCTGAACAAAATGGAACCTTCCCACAAGACAATTTTTAAAAGGTCTTGAGAAAGGAGGTTGAACACTAAGCAGAAATACATTGCCTGGCTTCTGCTAAGGCAGGGCAAAAGCCTTGGCTGCTCCCCACTCAACCCTCAAAGCATCAGCCCACCCCATTTCCTATGCTAGCAGTGGCTGTTTCCTGTGACTAGGAATAGCAGGAAAACTGCCTTTTTGGTGGAAAACACAGGTGGATGGGGCAAGCCTCTCACATCCACACCATGGCTGTTTCTGAGTGTTGCTTTGCTGCCATTGCTGTAGTGGCAAAGAAAAAGGGAGTGCAGGACAATCAGGCTTTCATTTCTATGCAGCATGTAATAAGTAAATCTTGGTAACCTATGCCTCGCCTCCCCTCCCCTCCTGCACTGAAATATATGCAGGTGTGAGAGGAGGATGAAGTATTTACTTGTCTATGTGCACATCTGAATGTAACACTACATAGACAGCACCCCCAGTCTGACCTAAGAGGCAGCCCTCATGGCCAAGAAAGTTAGGCACCCCTTGTACTTTCACAGTGTACTGCAGCTGCAAAGAAGTGTTTATAGGGTTTTCAATTCCAATTAAGTGTAATTTTTCTCCAATGCAGCCAATTAAAAAGAGGTTCCCCTGTTTGAATAGAGGAGTTTACTATTAGGTAACCATCAGAAAGTCTAGAGGTTTTAACCCCGGCCTCTCCGAA